ACACACACACGTACACACGCACACAAACAGGCCAGTGGGCCACCCGCACCACATAGGAGGCGTACAAGTGGATTACAGCCGCGGGCCTCTCTAATCGCATATTTAGGTCAGCTACAACATTCATAATTAAGTGACCATGCTGTCAAAATGTAATCAGAGCTGTGAGGCAAAAGATTCTACAATCAATTGTAAAAAGTCACCACAGCCAGGCAACACACCGGTGTTTGGGGTTTGACTCAAGATGGACACATGTTTAAACATGTTGTTGCCTAAGGACACAAAGGACAGTTTGGCACATAACAGCCACAGCCGCTCCACGTCGGTGCATAGTGTTCATAGAGATCTCCCATCACAGTAATAACCAGGCCCTTCCCTGCTTAGTGTTAGAGGTCTGACTGGATCTTGCTTTCACATGCAGGTGGCGCCACAATCATGCCCAATGTGCATCAAGTTTTATTATGTCATGTATGAGATGTATTTCATTATTTTGTTAATATATAAAATAATACAAGGACGAGAGGAGGCCCCGGGGAAGACCCAGGACACGCTGGAGGGAAAACAGGTTTGTTTTTCAGGTGTGTAAAATACGTTGGCATTGTGTGCTGCACGGTGGTTGAGTGGTTAGCCCTCTCACTTCTCAGCAGGAAGGTCCTGGATTCGTCTCCCAGTCGGAACAGGGTGCTTCTGAGTGGTTTATGAGGATGTTCGTCCTATGTCTGTGTAGGCCAAAAACACAAAGTGGTCACTGAGGCACGTACACAGTGTCAATATAGGCATACTGTAAAGATCAGAAGCTTTTGAATCCGGTCGTAACTTTATTTATATGGCACTAATGTAGCTGTGGTGTGCATCAATATGGACATTATAACTCATTTTAAAGCTTGACAGGCAGAACAGCTCAAATCCAATAAAAACAGGTTTACAATCCATGTGGTCGGCCCCTGGACAAGTCTGGTGACCTAAAGTGGCCCTCAAACTAATAGATTTGTAGACTTGAAAGGTATATAGGAGGATTTTCCCAAATCTTAGGAGGGAACAGCACTCTCTACTTTTTGAACAAAACTCTCTGGTCTTATTTGAAGAGCATGTATCACCAGAATGATAGACAATTGGGAGGACCAATAGTCTTGACGATCCACCTGGAAGCAGAAAATCCTCCTATATACCTTTAATGGTGCATTCAGACCGCCAACGCTGAAACGCTGAAGCCCCGCTCACCAGACGCGCATTCTTTAGTTTTCAGACGCAGAGGTCTTCACACCGAGATGTCCTGACACGCATCGGAAGTAGCCGGCCGGCTCTAATGCTAACAGAGCTATGCTAACGGCTTCCTGTGTACAGATCTTCTCCAATATGCAGCTTTGCAGCGTGTCTTTGAACAGAGACTTCCCACGGGCTTTATATAACAGTAGTATGTGTTCACGGACGTGCGCCATACGTTTTTTCATATTATTCAACGGTTTTTCCGCATCTGCGAACACACTCGAAGCCGTTGCATGATCACGGGAGCATGACAACGCATATTTTCACAAGCACAGAGTCCCCCATTGTCAACCCTGGTGTGGGTCCTGTTTTGGCTGTTTACGAGTATTTTCAGTCTGCTCGCTCAGTCCACTAATGTCCTCGTGACCACTTTGCTGCTCTCTGATTGGTCGCTGCACGAACGTCGCAAGGAAAGGATGAGCAGAATCCATCTTCTGTGGGCGTCCATTTTTTGCTCTTGCTCCTCCCCTTTGACTTTCCCGACAAGTCTGTGTGTCTCTACTGGACAGTCCGTCCGTGCGTGCCGAGAGGTCCGTGCGTTGTGACGCTCGAACGCTCGTCACCATAGACTTTGCATTGAAAGCCGACGCAACGCATGATCCGGTCTGAAAGCACCATAGGTCTTGACAGTAACTCTGCCTTTACTTCTCCTACATCACTAACATTCTATCACTTTCTTGCTCTCTTTGCTTTGCTGGATTCATGATCCGATATCCAAGACCCTAAACCCGAGATCCGAGATCAAAACGCCTGGGAATGAGTGAGGTGGCAAACAAGAATCAAACACAGATATAGATTTATATAGAGACTTCAATATATACTGTAGCTAGAAAGTTGAAAAGAGTACAGTAAACAAAAATAAAGTCTGGTGTCCAGGGCTGCTGGACACCAGACTTTACCAGAATGTTACAGCCGCAGTGTGGACATTGGAGGGGGCTCTGTGAGACTTTCCAGCTGCAATGAGTTCTTTTGATTTACTTTTGGCCAGAGTTTGTGCTCCCTCCAACATATGTGGTGAAGGACTTGGTACTCTTTACTGGCGTGTAACCTTCTGGATTCAAAAAATACGCATCCACCTGGTCCTAAATAGCCCCATTTCTATCCAGGTCGAGCTGGTACTAAAGTTTTCTAACTGATAGTGATTACCCAGAGTACTGCTGGAAGCCATGGTTACCAAGGAATTTCCATTGATACTGGTTGATTGTGGGTAGGTTTCTAGAAAACATTAGCAGATAATAAAGTGTGATGTAACGCTCAGTACTCAGTAGAGTAGAGCAGGGCTGGTGGAAACAGGGCTTAAATGTACCCCAGTATTTTTGCTGGATATTTTCTGACCACAAGTCAGCCCTTTGTTGTATTGTTATGTCTGTTATGGGTTTTGGCAAATTTGACTCACTCTCGATGTGTTTGTTTTCCTGACCTCAAGAATGTCACCAGTTGTCATGTGACTGTCACGTGACAACTCATATCACCTGTGACCACTTGACACTTTTTGCTGAAAACAAGTCCCCAAAGGAATAAGGGAGTGTGATCTTATAAATCGGAGCCTCTGACCTGTCGCTCTTTGTTCTTTTTATTATTTTCCAACTGATCCTTGAACAGCTTCTGGTCTCTCATGTTGGTTCTACATTTTGTGATCCACAAATGCATAATGAGTAAAGGTGAATTGAAGCGAAGCTAACATGAACTCCAGTAGTAATTGGTCAAACGCAAACAGCTCATTTGTTTATTCCCCAAGAAAAGGCCTATGAAAGCAAACAGGGACAAATCCCACCTCAACATGATTTATTTTGATCTTTAGTAGGAATGGACGGATGAGTGTGACATCATATATGTGATAATAGCCTAATGCATATTTCCCTATATAGATATTTCTTCCGCTGCATTAGCTCCTTATATCCTCCTTACATGGCCTATATCTGGGCCAGGATCACCAAGAGCATAAAACCACAGGTTTTTAAACAAAAAATTGTGAGTCAGCTTGGTTTTCCACCAGAGAAGAGCTTGTTAATATAGCAACACACTGTTTACTGTCAGCAGTTAGCATTAGCCTTTCACTAAATTGTTGTTGTTGTAACTAAAACTACTGTACTAAAACTGGTGACTGATGAATATATCTTTACATGTAAAGTGATATTCATCGGTCACCAGTTTGAGCACTTACTAAATCTGGTGAAAAAAAAACATTGGGGCAATTTCTCATAATTCCATTGATTTAAAGGGGCAGTAAGCGATTTTGTTAGCTTAGCCAAAGCAGCACCCGGAGGAAACCTACGCAGACACGGGGAGAACATGCAAACTCCACTCAGAAAGGCCCGCCACGGTGGTTTTTAGGTTTTAGAAAAGCCGATAACTCAGGTGCGCGTACTCACGAAAAACAGGAAGAGGATGTAGGGGGTAAACGCATTCCATCTTTAAATGGAAGCAGTCAAAATGACGGCTCTAGTAGTTTCATAATTGTGGGAATCACAGTGTTGGTAACATTTGTATTGTTTCCTGATGTGTTGTGTGTGGAGTCTACACAGTGGAGTCTCTAAATGACAGAGTGCGAGAGCTCAGAGCTGTAGACATAAGTTTAATGCCACACTGCGGAACATTACAGGCAAAGCAATAATATCGTTGCTGTGGAAAGTCACACAGTGCACTTTGAGAGTATACTTTACAAACCAGTAACAGATTCACTTTAACAAAACCACTCGTATGGCCTTCCTTTAAAAAAACACTTTACAATATAAAAGCTCTTTGATTGTTATTGATACAGAAACTCGTCCCTGTTGTCCTGACACGGGAGAGGAGGTCACAGGCCCCAGGAGGCGACAGGGCCCCCAGGAGGCGACAGGGGCCCCTCTGCGCTCCTGTACTCTCAGAGGGCCACTTCCACCGCCACTGTTTTACTTGGCTCCAGCACTGAACATGTCCCAGGACTGCAGAGAGGGCAGGATCTTAGTTTGATCATATCATCACCAGTAAAGGTTAAAAAAAATTAAAACAAATCTCATGAACCATATACAGCAGTCAAAATGACAGCTCTAGAAGTTCTAGTAGTTTCATAATTCTGGGAGTCCTAGTGTTAAAGGGCAGACAACAGCTTAGGAGCATTTGGGAATAGGGACGGGGGTGTGGACGGAGGAATGTTTTGTTTTATCTAAAATTGGTTTAAAACTCAACAAGGAACAGTCAGCAACCAGCACTGCGGCTTTCAACAGAAGAATCCTGAAATATGTTCAAATACATAACAGGGATTCATAAGTGTCAACGATGAGAACTATACAGCAGACTGACCACCCTGACACTAACCCTGACCCTTCCCATGTCTCTCTTGAGTCCAGTACTCTGCCCACCTCTGCCAAGCCAACGGTACAAACATCCAGAAGATCAGTCAGAATGTATGCACCCGTCAGAAGCCACACAAATGCTCTCATATGCTCTCGCTTTGGCATTCCTCCACTTATGGCTATTTGTCAAGACACTGAGGTGGTCCGAGGAACACTACGGTGGTCCCAGGGGGGACACTACGGTGGAGGGCGGTGGAAGCGAGACCTCTCCATTTGTCATAGAAAACATGGTCTCTGCTGAGTCCAGAGTTCAGTGATGTAAACAGGCACACCAGATTGGCTCCTGGCGCTGCAGTGCTAGTCCCGGTGCGCACAGGCAGGGCCGTGGGGCTGGCAGTGGTCCCACAGTGGGGCTCCTGGGGGCCCGGCTGGGTGCAGGGCCTCAGGTATGATTGTGCAAAGTCATGCCGTGTCTGGGATGTCCACGCGGAAGGAGCTGGCAAAAGTTGTTCCCCTCTGCAAAAACAAAAAAGCCGGGTTAGAGACATGGAGAAGGACATACCCTGGTGTAAAGCACGGCAATAAGTATAGTATTTGTATAGCACAGTTCATAAACAGGCCAACTTAAAGTGATTAACAAAACAAGATAGAAACAAAATAATAAATAATCACAGTACATTAAAAAGAGTGAAGACACAATCCTTCAATTGTTGAAAAGAAACAGGCCTGTTTTTGATCTGGATTGAAACATGTCAGAGTAGAAGCCTGTCTCACAATTTTCAGGATGCCTGTTCCAGATTTTAGCTGCATGAATCTGAAATGCTGCAGCCCTATGGTTAGTCCTGACTCTGGGCATCAGCAGGAGGCCAGTCCCTGTGCTCCTAAGGCCCTGTTTAGACGGAGACGCTGCTGAGGCGCTGCAAAGTAATTAGCAAAAACGACCAGGCTCCTGCACAGGGTTTAGACGACAATGGACAACAATATAGTTCTAGTGCTCGGTCAGTAGTGGGCAGTGGAACTTTATGACACACGCAACCCCCAGCTGTACAATCACTTCCTCCACAACATCTTCCTCAGGCCAACGCAAAGACGTGAAAGAATGCACCGACATCATTCTGAATTTAACAGTAGCTGCAAAAATGGAAACTGAAACTACAGCTTTGTGGAGTTTCGTTTTGACAAACAAAGGAGTAGATTTCTTCTCTGTGTTGTGCTGGAAGCATACATAGCATTAGTTCACCCGGCACTAACATGTCACAGATGTACTTTGGTGCGAAGCCACGGAGAAAGTTGTACACAAGCAAAGATGGTTTAAGTCTATTCTCTGAACAGAGATCTGACTGGTAATACTAGTGTATTGCTCTTTGAAATAACGCAGCAAAGTCCAAGTTAAATGCATAAAATATCTAACTTTAAATCTGCTTTGTTTACAATGTGACAAAAAGAAAAAGATAGCACAAAAAGGTCCTTCTGTTTCAGAACTCGTGCTTCTGGCCTCAAGTCATGTGTCCAAACAAGAATCTCAAACATTATACATGGTTAAATAAAGGTTACTTTGAATACAACTCCGACAGTGTCAGTGTGGTAGCGTAGAGTAGTGTAACTCTATAATACTGATACGTTTTATAGTCAGTAATATTATAATACAAGTATATGGCATCCCAGTCACTACTAACATATCATAAACCACTTGTATCACAACCACTTGAACCACTTGAGTGTAATAATAATAATAATAATGCATTGGCTTTATATAGCACTTTTTTGGACACTCAAAGACACTTCACATGTCATTATTCATTCACTCCATACACAGTGGTGATAAACTACTACTGTAGCCACAGCTGCCCTGGGGCACACTGACAGAAGCGAGGCAACCAGTATGTGCCATCGGCCCTTCTGACTACCACCAACCATTCACACACACACCAGACTCATTCTAGGCAATGGGGGTGAAGTGTCTTGCCTAAGGGCATAACGGCAGTTTGGCACTTTACAGCCGCAGCCCCACTATGGCTGGTGTTCCCAGAGGTTAAGTGTCTTGCCAAGGACACAACGACAGCAGACAGTGGGAGTTGATGGTGAAGGTCGGGCTCGAACCCAACCGTAACTTGCTGAATACTCATAATAATCCACAGGGACTGGTTATTAAGCCACACTACAGGTTCCCAGAGTCAGGACTAAACAGGGGAGGCAGCAATTCAGATTCATGCAACATGGTACAGTCTTCCTGAAAATGTGAGACAGGCTTCTACTCTGACAATGATGCAATCCAGGTAAAAACCGTTCTGATTCGCTGCAACAACTAAATGATTGTATCTTCATTCTTTTTAATGTACTGTGATTATTGTATATGATTGTTTCAATCTTGTTCTGTTCAACACTTTGAGTTTCCTTGTGTATGGATTGTGCTATACAAATAAACTTAATAATACAGGTTTTCTCACACTGTGCCGGTATGTGAGGGGGGAGGTGAAGGGGGAGGAAGTGGCACGTCTGCGCTCTGTGCGAAATGTGTCAATGGATTGCTATAACCCAATATCACACGGACGATTTATTCAGGACGGTCGCGGATAAAAGACAAACAAGACTCTGTCCCCCCGCCCTCCCCCCCTGCAGTCTGGGCCCCTCCCTCCTTGACCCCCAGCCCCACAACAAACAGCTCTGTGTGTCACGGCTCCTGAGAAGATTAAGGGCCTCCAGCCTTTTTAGTGACCTCCGTAAGTCTTGTGTTTCGCAGAGGAATTCTCACAGGAGATAAACCTGTGGATAAAACGTATCTATCTCTTTCTCTTTTCCATGTATCTATTTATGTATCATATGTTTCTGTTTCTGGTCACTGTGTCTCGTGTTGTCTCTGTGTTGAAAATAGTATCAAATCTATTGGTTATTTTTGTTGTTGTAGAGGTTTTGAAATAAACATCTTGATTGATTGTTTGTCCCTATGGTTCCATCACTATATGGAACCAGCCGTACTCGGCTCTACTCTAGTCTTCTTTACTCAGCTCAACTCTACTCCACTCAGTTATGTTTCCATAACACTTCAGCATCTGGTACCGTATCCTAGCAACCTACACACAACAAACCATTATCAGAGGAAAATTGGTAAACATGGGCTCTAGCAGCACTCTGGCCAATCACTGTCAGTTAGAACACTTTAGTACCAGCTCGGCCTGTTTAGAGCAGAGCAGAGTAGATTAAGGCTGGCGGGAACAGGGCGTTTATGTGTGTAAAATGTTCCATTACTATGACCTCTTGTTTTTGCCATTTTTAGTAATTTGGTACGTTTTCAAAGAAGTATGCACACACACAAACACACAATCTCTCACATACACACACACACTCACAGAGACAATTTCACATCACACACACACACACACACACACATACACTCTCAGCCGGGGGCCATTGTCCTCCCTCTGTGGGCCCTCATTAGCATAGGGCCCTGTGATCCACTCAGCACAAGGGCAGTGTTCATGGGAAACGCTGACATTACTGCGGGCGCCATGGCGACAACAAATGCACTCATCACTCGCCCCGTGTATGAGATACACTAAAACTGTGTGTTCGTGTGTATATGTGTGTTCGTGTGTATATGTGTGCATGTGGTGTGTGTGTGTATGAATTTAGCTATGATGAGGAACAACATTTTTTCCATCTTCCACTTTGTCCAAATGCTCTTTTTCAAACGAGTTACACAGTGATGCAATTCAATTCAATGTAGTTGTGCATCCCCCTAAATCACAGCGGCAGTCGTCTCAGACGACTTTAAATTGTGGATTCCTCATCAATAAATCAGAGATTCAAACTGTTAAAACACAAAAGAGCGTCATAGGAAGTGAGATGACCACTCCAGAAATTTCCTTAATCATCACTCTCTTGCATCAGCAAGGTACCACTTAAAAACCCAGCGGGAAGAAATGTGAAAAACCTTGGCCCATATTGAAAGGATTGGCTCCCATGGACATAGATCCAGGACTGAGGCTTTAGATCTAGGACTGAAACTGTAGATCTAGGACTAAGGCTGAAGACTATCCCCTATTGTACAAAACTAATTTCTTTCTTGCCAAAGTCTTGTTCACTTCTCCAGTTTACAACTATGTGACCGTAAGTTTGTGTTTGATGAAGGAATAATGTTACAACGTGGTTAAAATCTGTGTCCTTTAAACTTATATATGATGTTCCTCATGTAATCGCACTGACTGAGCCTTTCCCCTCATATGAGACGGCCATCTTGGAGTGATCTTCTTGTAATCCTTCATGGTGTTTGGAGCAGTGCTGTTGGGGACAGTGACCTGAGCTGTGTGTGCCGAGGGGCTGAGGGGCCGTGGCTCTGCACTGATAATGCCGCTCATTGTCTGTGTAATGAAAAAGGGCCACTCGAGCGCCGCTCCACAGAATACTAATACCCCCAGTGCTGTGCGGACATGAAGCTGTTGTGTCGTGGGTAAAAGCTCATTCCCCAGTCCTGCCTTATCTTTGCTGTTCGGATCCAGCGCTGACGGAAAAAGGATGTTCTGCTCTTACAATTATGAGCACCAATCGTTGTGCTCTAGAGACATAAACATAGGATATCAACTTTTACCATGTTAAAGTTCTTCATGTACAGTTGTTTTTACAGATATTTGTCTGCTCACCAACATACTGTACTCCAGGGGTGTCCATACCCTTTACCCAAAGTTGTCTTGGATTAGAAATAAGATCATAAACACGTAACCCTAAAACTAACCCAACATAGGCATGTAATCAACTCTTCTCTACGCCACTCCTTGCTACTCTACTCTACCTGGTTTCCATCACACTTTAGTTTAGGGCAACCGTATCCTAACATCCTACTCACAAAAAACGGTATCAGGGGAAATTCCTGGAAAACCATGGCTTCCAGCCGCACTCTGGCCAATCACTGGGCACTCACCAGGGACAAGAGGGACTAAATAAGGACCTGGTATCAGCTAAACAGGGCCTGGAATGAAAGCCTAGAATGAGGGGCCTGGAGTGAGGACCTGGAGTGAGGGCCGGGCTTGAGGAGAGGTGTACCTCAGCGTCTGCCGGTGCATCCATGCCTGGCACGTGGAGGTTACTGCGGTAGTCTGAGCCCTGTCGCTCGGCGGGCACAAAGGCGGGCATCCAGCAGCGGTCCGAGTGCCCCAGGGCCTTACACTCCTCTGTGCAGTTAGAGAAGAGGTCCGTCCCTGAAAACAGACACAGGTGTTGTAAGTAAGTAAGTAAGTAAGTAAGCTTTATTTATATACCGCCTTTCACAGACCAGAGTCACAAAGCGGTTTACAATTGTTATTTTGGGCATTTGTCCGATTTGTTGTCAGCACACAGAGGTAGCGGCTTACAACAGGAATCTAGGTGTGGTTTAATATACAGAATATAAAAGAGGACATTTAATGACACTAAACAGGATACACACAGAGAAAAACACAGAACAAACCATACCACACATGGAGGAGAGAAAGAGAGGCTTGGGCTCTCAGCTACACGGTGTTGTCAGAGAGACCAGAGAGAGACCAGTGAGAGACCAGAGAGAGAGAACAGAGAGAGTCCAGAGCAAGAGAAAACACAGAAAGAAAAAAAGAGAGACCAGATGGAGAAACCAGAGAGAGACCAAAGAAAGACCAGGGAGAGAGACCACAGAGAGACCAGAGAGGGACCAGAGAGAGAGACCACAGAAAGAATAAAGAGAGACCAGAGAGAGCCCAAAGAAAGATCAGAGAGACCAGGGAGGGCCAGAGAGACCCCCCATATAAATGCCATGATATCAACCACATGTCACACTGCATAGGTCCGTCACGGGGGTCAGCCAGGACACAGTGGTGCCATACTTTCATAATGTAAATAGTAATCATAACAAAATAAAACCTGTTTTATACTTTATACCGACCACAATGCTACGCTATGTTTCTAACACTTTTTGGCTGAAAACATTCACCCTGTTGGTAGAAATAACCACAGCAGGTTCGCCTCCATCGCTCCTTCAAACTGTGATGTTTTAAAACTCTGCTGGGGATTTTGAAGGAGGGTTGTACTGAACCAAAGCAGGCTGCCAAGTGCTTCAGCCACATGAACACAACAACTCTGTAAGTGGCTGGTTCTCTATAGATCTATCTCCAGACCTCGCATCAGCAGTGATGCAGAGACCACAGCCAGTCACAGGGTCAGGGAGTGTGCTGCTGCTTCAAACCACACACACACACACACACACAGATACAGACACCCAGGCCACAACGCTGCTTTGCATCTACACACATTTCCATACTCAAATGTTGGGAAGAGACCGGGAACGCGGTGAGGCACAGGCAAATACTGCAGCTGGGACCACAGCTCACACCACACACCAGTGACTGACATCCTCACACCGGCCTGGCAATACTCCCTTCACAAACTGTGAATGCTGCCAAAAATATATCTTTTTCTATTTGTCTGTTCCTCAACCCAAAACTAATCAACTTTTCTTTGATGATTCCGCGCAAATATGTTAAAACCATGAGAACATCAGACAAATTATTGTCTTTGGTCCCAGAAACAAGGAGAGAGAACTTTTAAATCAGGTCAGACATCTAGGAGTAATAATGGAGACCAGAGAGACCAGAGAGAGGCCGGAAAGAGAGACCAGAGAGAGGCCGGAAAGAGATCAGCAAGAGGTCAGAGAAAGAGACCAGAGAGAGAGAGAGACCAAAGAAAGAGACCAGAGAGAGAGACAAGAGAGCAACCGGAGAGAGAGGTACAGACCAAAAGCAGCCATTCGTCTGTAGGGAACGGGATGACCACTGTCAATACATGTTACTAAATGTGCTTAAATCATCTCTGTGCTTAGACCCTCCACCATCTACAAAGAAGGATGCAGCAAGGAACCAAGGAACATTACGGGCTGGCTGATGGCGCTCAAACACAGCCACTGACCTGAAAGCAGCTCAGTGTTAGCGCTTACAGGTACAGCTCTTTGTTACCCTGCAGCAGGTCTGTCTGCGGTCAGTGGTGCATGGATGGGTTTGAATGCAGCTGGGAGTGTCACAGAGCTTCAAAGTATCCAGGTCCCAGCATGCCCTCACATGACCCGTAACCCCCAGCATGCGCCTTTGTGGATCGGTGAACCGCAGCCATGTCATATCTCACATTACACCTGAGCCTTGTCGTAGAAGCGCTGTTGGCAAATTCACAGTTTAGGGATAGATGCCGTCTAACTCAGGTTCAATTCAATGTATTTGTGTATCACCCAAAGTCACAGCAGGGTCATTTCGGAGGACTTTACAAAGTTGTCAATTCCTTATCAACAAAGTTCAAACAAAATAATGTACAAAAATAACAAAGACATCACTGTCTTTAAACACTCCTACCTCAGGGAAAATACTGGAAAAAACGAAATAAGAAGTCAAAGGGGTTTCATCACAAATAATAGATGTACAGAAATCATTATGTTTTCTTCATGTTTGTTTTTCATGGATTATAAGGTTCTTTTAATGAGACAAAGAGTATAAAGACGCTAGTACTGCTTATGGCTAATGAGATCAACTGAGGAAAAAGCAACACAGAAAAACCTAAAATCAGCAACTTCTGACCCCTGCAGAACAGAACAGAACAAAAAGAACAGAAGAAGGAACAGAAGAACATTAGTACAAAAGATGGAGACCAGAGGCACAAGGACTTGGACTATCAACATAGGCGAGGGGGCAAACACCCTGGGTAATACTTGGGACTCACTTCTCCAGAGACCATTGACCATTGGGGGGGTGATCAGTCTGAGGAGGCGTGGTCAGTCTGATGACTCTGAGGGGACATGGTCTTTAAGCAGTAATTAAAGAGCGACTAAACACCTGTGCCCAGAGGCATCCCTTGCCAATAGGCAAGAGAGGCAGCTGCCTGGGGCCCCCAAACCGACAGGGGGCCCCCGAGGGCTGACTGATTTGACACAAGAGGTCGACTTGTACAGGCTACAACAGCTACCTGCAGTGAAGAGTTGGCGGATAAAAACTTTTCGTCTGATGCAAAACTTCCCACGTTCTTCATTAACAGTTGAAAACCCTGCCTGGGGACTGTCATGTATTGTATGTAGTAGTGGTCTAGTGGTTAAGTTGCGGCACTTTCGTCACGACGACCCGGGTTCCAATCCAGGTGACATCCATGTTTCAAAATGCATTTGACCCATCCTGAAGCCACAAAGGCTTACGTCAGGAGCAGTGGTCGCCGTAGTACAGCGCCCGGGGACCCATCTCCAGATGTTGATGCTCGGCTTGGTCAGGACTACCAGATCTGGAGGATTTTACCTAGTGTGCATGTTTTTAGTGGTATAGGGAAACCGGAGCACCCGGAGGAAACCTACACAGCACGGGGAGAACATGCAAACTCCACTCAGAAAGACTCTGTTCCGACCGGGATTCGAACCCAGGACCTTCTTGCTGAGAGGCTAGAGTGCAATCCACTCAGTCGCCTTCAAGCAGTACTAGTGTCTTTAAACTCTCTGTCTTATTAAAAACTTGCGAGCTGTAAATCACAAATAGTGTCCATTTTTGTAAATGGCCAAATCCCTGTGTGCACACGAGGAGGGCCTGTGTCCGCAACAGTCAGCACACCGGGAATTTGCTTTGTTACAAAGCCGATTAAATTGGCTTGTCGTCACTAACAGCTTGGAAAAGTGCCCAGACTCTTAACAACAGGGATTCATATGAAATATTTAGCAGCACAGCAGAAAGACACAACACAGAGAGCAGACTGTGTGTGTGTGTGTGTGTGTGTGTGTGTGTGTGTGTGTGTGTGTGTGTGTGTGTGTGTGTGTGTGTGTGTGTGTGTGTGTGTGTGTGTGTGTGCGTGTGTGTGTGTGTGTGTGTGTGTGTGTGTGTGTGTGTGTGCTTGTGTGCTTATGTATAACCATAGTTGCACCAAAAGTGTCAAAAAAAGATCCCTAGTGTGTTTTCTTCATTCAACCTCTTTTCCAAACCATGTACTTGTTTTATCGATAAGTGTGAAAATAAAAATGATAAGAAAATAAAATCCCATCCACCCACTTATCTGGTGAAATGCATCTGTCAACCTTCTTGCTGAAGTGAGAGTGCTAACCACTCAGACACTGTTACTTACAGCTCAGTCCTAGCCCCCAAACCACAACAGGCCAACCATGTAACAACATGCGTGCAACCAGTTCCTTGCTCCCACAACAGCTTGGCTCCTGCCTGTATTATGCACCGCTGGTCCCCCTCGCATATCCAAACTAGCTCAAAAATTATTGGACATTCTTGAACATGTAAGTCAGTATTCCAAAGATCATGTTTAAGGATAATACTGTATGTGTATGTGTAACATGTATTCTTTCTGAATAAACCAGGCTCTGGCCATGGCCCTGGCTCGACTCAGCTCTGCTCCTCACATCAGCATGCAGCTCTGGCCAGCAGTAGCTCGACCCGAAAAGCCCATAATAACCTTCATTTGGTAATTGGTATGCAGAGGTCTGAGAAATGAATTAGCGATCAGCGGGCTGTTACTGTGGCGATAACGTGCCGTGCAGCCCTAAAGAGGAGTTTTTCTATCTCCACAGCCCGTCTCCCCTCTGCCCGATAACAAAGTCCTGCTCAGAGAAGGGGGAGCCTGAGGATGGGGGAGAAAGGAAGAGAAGGGGGGGGGACATAGGACACTAATAAGGATTCTAAGCACGATTTAAACAATACGTGGTATCAGCACAGGTTTAGGGGTAAAACAGGTTCGAGGTTAAAACATGGAAATACCTTCAAGAACATTAATGTATATTTTTGTCCATGTCATCATATTATATACATCATGTATATACAGTACTGGCGTTAACAGGGGCATCGAAACTTTTGTTCACCAGACAACTCTGTGGGAACTGTCCAGGAGAGAAGGATGAGGGCTCTGTTGCAGGGCATCCTGGGTAACTCCAGGCACCCTCTGCATGACACTATGGCCGCTCAGAGGAGTAATCGAATCAACAGGCTCCTATCACTGTGCTGCCGAACAGAACGTTTCAAGAGATCATTTGTTCCTTCGGCTGTCAGACTGTACAACAAACCTGGATGAGTCTTCTGCTGCAGGATACCTGAATTTCTCCTACGTGGGAACAATAAAGTATCTATCTATCTATCTAAGTCAGATGCACCACTTTCTCCACCAGTCCACTCCTTCCACAGTCAGTATAGTGTAGTCAGGTACATTTGTGCAATAAAGGTCTGGTGCTGGCCAGAGCAGACCAGGGCAGTAAATAAGTGCATTTGTTGCTTTAGATGTTTAGCATTGCTTCTTTCCAGCACTTCTAATGCGGCACAGTGGCTAGATGGAGAGTGATAAGCATTCTCACTTTTCAGTAAGAATCCAGGCCTTTCTGAGTGGAGTGTGCATGTTCTCCCCGTGTCTGCATAGGTTTCCTACATGTGGTACCCCAAGATGACTGCTGTTTTAAGTTATTTTTAGTATTGATATTTGCTAAAAATAGTATCTAGTTTCAATTCATTTCATTTGTGTACCATACATGATACATGGTACAGCCCCAGCCACGTAGTGTATCTGTTTTGTTCCACTCTGGAGGCCGTTTCTCAATGCAAACGTTTTCTGGTGAATGAAAGGCCAATCCGATACCCAATTGTTTTATTGTGGCAGCGTCTCCATGTAAACAACCCTCAGAGGCTGTAGATCCAGGACTGTTTGACAGCCCTGTGTTCAGAAGGGTCAGACTGGATATAAAGACTCCCTCATATTCTGTAGTGTAGCTGTAGTGGCCGAGCTCTATGAATGCCCCTCAGTGTCCTGGGGTCTTAGAAAGCACCTCACGTTCCAGCGTTGCACTTAAGCTAAAACAACATTTACTAAATTCTTTAGTTGACAGGGACATCGCACAATATGTATTGCACAGACCAGACATAGCAACTAGCTAAATGTTATCCGTCGTTCCTGACCAGAGGCAAAGTGACAGTGATAGAATAAAATATAGATTGGCCTTGGGCTTGAGGTTAACCCGGCGCTGATTGGCTAAAGCTAGCGCAGGCTCTGACCCCAGCAGAAAGCACCAAAACAACCGGCATTTTAAAAATCCAGCGTTTTTAGCCTAGCAGCATTAGCCTAGCAGCATTAGCCTAGCAGACGCCACTGGAAACAGCAAACAACAGCAAGATGTACGTTAAATGGACGGATGATGAGGTGCAGGTATTGATTCAGACGAGGTTTGAGGCCTCGCGGCAAAATGAAAAGATAGTTTCAATCCTAGTGTATAGTCGCGCGGAGCTTACGGTGGTGACGTGGCTTCACTTTTGCTCTGTTCCTGTCTTTGTTTGAATCTGCACTCGTAGCTCATCGCGTCTGTTGCATTCCTCTTGCACTTGTAAATAGTTAATGTTTGTCTTAGATATTTACCACCAATTGTTTTGCAATTTGTGCTGAATACACTTTAAAAATAAATGTTTCCAAAAAGAACTGAGTCTTTATTCACAGGGTCACAGTTAAAAGAGTTGAAACAATGAGTTTAGAACTATCTCGTAAACCTAAAACAGCTCGGTTCGCTATTGTTTTGGTTCTGAAGAGGAGAAAGTAGCAGCGTAAATGGGGCCGCTTTGGTTTCTCAGGCAACTCCTGTGAGTTCGCCATCATGTGGTTGGGTGTGGGATTACTACATTCTCTTCAAAAGGGGAACGCGCGAGTGTACCAGCGACTGTGGCTATGTAGGTCCAGCGCAACCGCAACCAGCGCCGCACCCATATACACAAGCCTTAAGACATATCAGCTTCACCTCGAAGCACTGGGGATTCATCACACTCCAAAACAAGCTGTGAAAAGTTTTAAAAAATGAAGCAGGACAATAAAAAAATTCAAAGACCACAACAACCGGAGCCGTTACGACCGTAAAATAAACTAATAGGTTTGGCGTAATGAGTTTTGCTTATGCGGCAATCGAAACTCATGACGTTGCCGAGTGATCCTACTCTGCAGTGGAGACACGGCCACTGAGAGGACCGAGGGAGAGGACTGTTATTGTAGATGTTCCAAAAGTAAAATGTTGTGAGAAAATCCAGCAGATTTAATGACATTCTGCATTTCAGACTGTAACAAACAATAGTTTTGGTCTGTGTCTACTACAGAAAGACAGGATGTAATAATGTTAATGGTGAAATTTGATCAACTTAAGATTCTGACACCATCGTAAAGCTGCTTTCAATCTCTTTTCAAATCTGTTTTCCTTTTTTTCATAGCATGTTTGTAACAAGTGTTATCATTATCTGAAGTCAGCTTATTAACATGGTTTTATGAAACGGAATTTTGAGAAAAACAGGTTTAAAGATAGACATTCTAAATTGAATTACTCTGTTATGGCACACATTTATTTTAGTCACTATGTTGTAAAAGATTTTTAAAAATTTACTTTGGCACTAAGCAAACACACAACACTCATTAATTAGATAAAAATCAAGAATGTATTTATTAATTCAACATTTAATGAATTGAATTTGTTTTACGTAACTATGTCTCTTCTTTTTATGTGTCTTTTTCTTTATAAGTTACTGAACAGTATATATATGTATTAGACAAGGCCAGTATTATTCTATCATTATGCAGTATATTACTAAATCACGCAGTATAAATATCCACCCACAACCAACATGCATTATTAATGCAAGAGGAAAATTAGGTACCCGAGCTTTAATTTTGTGAGTTTTGGTTACGCATAGGTAGGAGACACGGGGAGACCTGGACTTGCAACAAGCTGGGGATTGTCCTGAACGCGTGTCTATGGTGCGTTCGCCAAAGCAGCTGTCACAAAGCGGCCGCAGCTGCTCCCGTAACGTTAACATTCCGTTTATCAAAACATATCTACATTTTTTATGTATAAAAACTAGTGAATTTCACCTAGATATTTTCAGAAATTAAAGACAAGATGTTATATAAAAATTATTTAATGAAAACACAATTTTGCCAAATAAATGACAATCGACCAATTTTTACTATTTACTCAGTTGGTAGAGCATTGCCCTTTGGGCCTAAAGATCGTGGGTTCGAGCCCACCTTAAGACCTACTTCACGACTCTCACTGATGTCTGCTGTCATTGTGTCCTTGGGCAAGAAACTTTACCCCACTTTGCCTGACGCCCCTGCTGAAAGATCTCAGCTCCTGTGGACTCAGCACCAGGAGGATCAGTGAGGGGCTGGTGCTATGTGGGCTGGGTGCAGCTCTGACTGTCACCCCTGGACCCAGTAATGGATTAAGAGGAAGAAAATGGATGAATGGATGTACACTATGGTTGTCTTTTCATTCGATAGTTAGAAATGTGATAAATTACAATTAATTAATTTTCAAACTGTGATTATCTCAATTAATAATTGTAATCGTTTGACAGCCCTAATAGAAAAAATAAATAAAAACAAAGTAGTCTCCTCATGTGGCTATGGTGGATCTGGGCCCAAACTCCTCACACCTCACAATTCTTCACACCTCTTCACTCCTCACAACCATAAACGTTTGGCAAACAGAGGAAAAGGACCCCCTTGATGATTCAGGGGTAATCCTTAAGAAATATATTAAAAATAGACATGTATTTTGTTTGGTTCTAGTTCCTTGAAAAGCCTCATTATTGTACTTGTTTTAAAATGTTTCTGGAAATAGCCCACTCATGATTTCAGGCACGGCCGCTTGAGCTAACACCATTTGGGGAGATTGGATTGCCTCGGTCCACATTCGTTTTGCTGATTTGATTTTCAAATCCGAAGTTATAAAAATGTGTGTTACCTAATCTTTGCATTTTTGTTCAATATCCCTAGACATTTGTCACATCGGGGATAAACAGAGTGGGGAGTATACTGACCAGGAGGAGTGTATTGGAATGCACACGAAAGCTAAGCGGAGGTTCAAGTTTGGAAGACCGAAGACCTACATTTGCACGACTCACTGCTCAGTCCTCCCCCTGTCTGCTGCGCGGCTAGCAGTTCATCAGTCCATCACACTCAGCAGAAGCTCTGCGCGCCATTCCTCAAAACTGGCAAGCATATAAGCACTGCAGCACCTGGCTTCATTATCTTGCAGGAAGTTTCATTCAAGGCAGCCATTGGTTTTGTGCTGGAAACCCTCCTACTCCCCATCATTGCCTGTCGGACCCTTTATCCTTTCTTCTTCGCTACCAGCACCGGGTCTAGGCTCCGAAGGATTATTCCTCATATTCTATAATTCTTTTTGCCTTCTGCATTTGTCAAGCGTGCTCACTCTGCCGGGGTGAAGCGCCTGTGACAACAGTGACAGTGTTAAATTTGTTGCAGTAGTGCAGTTGGAGAGTAGTGACAGTTGTAATGGTGATTATTACTGACCAGAGGCGGGTCCTCGGTGCATGGCGTCGTGGTCACTGTCCCCCTGCTCACTGTCTCATGGCCACTTGGCCTTAGGAGTGACAGGTCAGCCTCTTGGAATGCGAGCTGCCACCCACACACACACAAACATACGCGGTCAGAAGAGAATAGGGCGATCATACACGGTATGTGGTGTGATGTTTGTGGGATGTGTTGTGAGGGTGATGAGGTACGTTAGGGTGTCGAGAGATGAGAGGGTTATGTGGGTGTGAGGGTGCTGACCTGTTGACTCTGCGGTGGCCGTTCCACAGGTAGCTGTGCTCTGACCGTGGGGGTTTGGTCTGAAATAAACACACACACAGGTTAATGTTGCGCATACTCAAATGTTGTGGGGACACTAGTGTAATTCTTGACCAGTTATTCGAGGTCAACGCCTTTTTTGTAATCTTAACTATTTTGATACATTTGATGAAAGGTTTTCAGCCCTATCTATCAAAGCCACGCGGAAGAAACACACTGTAAAGTAGGTGGGTCGTCTATTTTTCAATTTTCTGTTTGGGAAAAGGGGAGTGAAAAAAAAAAAACAAAAAAAAGGCTGATCTTTAATATGGAGGCCTTAAATACATAATATTTTTAAAAATAGTGATAGAAGCAATCTGAGAACAAGAGAGACCAGAGAGAGTTCAGAGAGACCAGAAAGCGACCAGAGAATGACCAGAGAGAAGAAGCCTGAGAGAGAGAGACATAGAGACTCCAGGAAATAGTTTGATGGAGCCAAATACAGGGGGACATTATGAAAAAAAAGCTAACTGAGGTTGAATGCTGAATTGACTTATAGCAAGAGAATGGCCATAAAGACACAGCTTACACCACTAATTACTAATTGTTTTGTGAAAGTTCAGATACCCCAACTTTAAATGATCCAACAATGTGTGATCATTAATAGTTTTATTTATTGTTTACTTACAATTTATTTATGTGTGATTAATTTATAGTATTCAATAAGTGTTTGAGTCGACCCTTAAAAAACCCACATTTGTGATGTTTCTGAGGTTTATGATCTGGTTCGACGTCCTGGGCTTAAAAAGGAGAACTGGATCTCGTCTCCCACGGAATTTGTATAGTATCTATATATATATATATTTATATATATTTATATATATATTATTATTATTATACATTACTTAAAGTGTGAAACATATGTATCATGTTGATGATTGTGGCTTTAGTTTTGATTTACATTTACAGTTTCAACAACAGTCATGTTTGAGTTTCACTTTGTTATCTCAAAACAAAAACATTGACTCTAATCTGTATCCAAACAATATTGATGAGTTTCATGACAAAAGGACTGTGTGTGAAGAGATACGCGTGTTCAGACTTTCTCCAGTTAAACAACAGAAAGTGCGATTATCTTGATGAAAATCCACATTCTATTTTACAGATGATTTATACTTTCTGGTTTATTCTACTCTATCATTTTCAACCATGTTAATTCAAACATTTTTAACTCCAGATGTTCCAAATATAGGATACACATTTTATATTTCTCCTATTTTTATGTCGCTTGTTTTTGTTGAAAGTAGTGAGATGGGAGACATGTTTAATTCTTTCACTTAATGATCAGGGTGTGTATTAGGTCTTGTCCATTCTGTTACAGCCACTGAAATTGTACCTGACCCTAAAGCAGCTCACACGAAGAAAAAAACTTTTGCCCCCCCTGAACACACAAGAGACACATATTAACTTTTTCTAACAGCTTTATAATGGGCCTGTGGAGAGGTCTTCACAATCAGAAACCTGTGGATGGTCCCAGTGTTTTGAGACAGTGTGGGGGGGATAGACTCTATCTGGGTCACTGTAATTTGGATATTCCATTTCCAAGCAATGATCCTTATTTTATTTTTTTTTATATGTGTGTAGTCTAAACACTGAACTTGTCCTGCAGGTGTCGGGTTGTCCTGCCCGCTCCGTTCTGTCCTCTCCTCTACGGCCCTGTCTTTTACTGGTCTATGCTCCCTGTCCCGTGTGAGGCAGGCTCTTACCTCTGTCAGGATGCTGCCGTTGGTCTGGATTGTCTGGCTGCGAGTCGCTGTACCCTGCGCAGGGGGTCGCTGTAGCCCGCGCACGTAGAGTCCTGGCCGGAGCGCGTGGGGATGCAGGGGCTTTAGGACATGAGGTCCGGTGCGCAGACTCAGGGGTCAGACACTACCTGATAACAGTAGTTCTGTTTATGCTGCAGAGAGCCGAAGCTCCCAGACTCCTCCACCGGGACCTGTGCGTGTGTTGGGTTGTTGGGGGTGGGGGTCGGAGGTGGGGGGTGTGGGTTGGGGGGGGGCGCGCTAGTGCACGGGCTATGACTCCGCATGATGTCGGACCTTAATGTGGTTTCTTCTGAACGGCCCCGGGCTGGCGGTGCAGCAGGGGCCCCTTACAGGTGCCCTCACAGCAGTCGTGGCTCATACATGTGACCATTGTGCTTTGTGCTTCTTCTGGCAACGCTCGGCCAACTCGATCATGACGAGGAGGAGATGGAAGGACAAAGATCCCAGAGCAATGATGTGGATAAGCGTGGATCTAACGCTCCTTCTTGACCTTTGACCCCCCCAACCCGGGCTCCAGCCCGCGGGGCCCTCCGCCACACTGTTACCTAGCAGCACTGCACAGAGGCAGAGGAGGTCAGTGGGGGTGCCCGTGGTCCCGGACCTCTATTAGCAGCTCGTTCCGGGGCAGGGGGTCCCTTTTCTCCGACAATATAGAGCCGTGCGCAGCTCCCCGGTCCTCCAGTCCATACGGGAACATGGCGTGCTCGTTCCACGTTGGAAGCTGTAGGACAGACGGGCGTTCTATCGCCATCATCTGCGTCCATGGCGAGACACGCGCGGACCAGGTACCCGGGGCTCAGCTGAGCGCGGCAGGGGCTCTCCCACAAATCCCAAAAAAAACTCAACTCATTCATTCCCAAAACCAAACAAACACTTCTCAACCCAAAGGGCTGTGCGTTAGTTGCCCTGAAGGCGCAAGCTCCGTGGGTGCGTTGTAATTCTGGTCCCACGATGAGACCCTGACGGTGGCGTTAGTGGCGAGGGTCGTGGACCAGAGTCTGCGCGTGCACGTGAAGCTGAACTCTTTAAGTTGCTCGTAGTCAAAGGAGCGCAGGCGTACACGTAGCCCGTGTCTTCGTTGATGGACACGTAGGTTTTGGACTGACATGCCCTGGATGGTCACACTTCTCTATGGTGTACCGGAGGAGGGCGTGCGCCCCAAGTCCGGGTCCCGCGCACTGACTGCGGGGAGTACGGCACCGGGTTACGTTATTCTCCCGTCTCGTACCACGTCGTCCACAGTCTGCGTGAAAGCAGGCGCGGTTGTCGGCTTCTCGTCAGGACACGTGCTCGCGGTGTATATGGACTTGCTGGAGGCCAGCGGGGGCGTGCCGCTGGTCACGTGACACACGGTCACGGAGTAGGAGCCACGTGCTCCCGGTCCAGGGCCCAGTCTGGTCACTATAGTGTTAGTAGTTCTTAAAGGAGGACTTGGAGTTTGAACGGGGACGTCCCCCAGGATCTCATCAGTGCACCTGTCCGTTCTCTCCTGCCGTCTTTGTCCGTGACGCTGGAGCTGCGCGAGCACAGTACCGGGGCCGCCCTCTCGCTCACCTGACTCGCTCACGGTATGAAGTTGATCTCCTGGCTTGTCGTTTCACGTCGGTGACAGTGAGCAGCAATTTGAATGAGCGGGGATGGCGTTGGCCCCTGGTTCCACGCGCCTGCACGGTAGATATGGTACAGAGCACTATCCTCGTAGTCAACGTGCCCCGTACCTCCACGCGCACCCGCTCCGCGCCTACACACCGAACAGCTCCTTCTCGCGGATGCTCACGTGGTTACTGAAGGTGTACAGCTCGTCCCCGTAGGGCCCGTCGTCCTGGTCGTGGCGTTGAGCTGAATGAGAAGAGTTCCCACGGGGGGCATTCTTGCCACTGTCACGCTGTACACGGGAGCAGTTCTAACTCCGGACGTTGTCGTTCGATTCAGAACTTTATCCCAAGTAGCGCGGTTCCCGCTGTGCGCGCGGGCTGTCCCCGTCCACAGCCGTGCGCACGTAACGGTTGCGCCGCATGCTGCTCCGGTTCCAGGCTCGCTCCTGCACCAGCTTCGACGGTAGCGCGTTCCGTCGCTTTGAGTCGGTACGTCCAGGTGGAAGTAAATCTGTTCGTAGTCACGTCGTAAGTGCGTAACGCGTTTGATACCACGTCCGGATCCAATGGCACTCTCCAGCGGGAAGCGAGTGCCCGGAGTGGCACTCTCGGAGATCATCCACCGTGATGTCGTCTCCGGGAACTCGGGGGGTTGTCGTTTATGTCCAAGACCTCTATCTCCACAGGAACAGCTCCAGGGGCTCCTCCAGGAACCCCTCCATGTTGAGCTGGCAGCTGGCGCTTCTACTTACAGATCTGCTCGTTCCGGTCGATGTGCCCGGACACGAACAGGACCCCCGGTCTCCAGGTTCACCTCAGATACGGGCTGCGGGAGTTGGGAACACTTGGAACCGGCGCGAGGCCAGTTTGGTCAGGTCAGCCCCAGGTCCTCCGCGATGGTTTCCCCGTGTGTTGCCGTGTTCTGCCTCCTTGGGACCGATTACGGATCTGCCCCAAAGACCGTTGCGTAAGGCACAGCGCGAGGCACAGCAGCGAGCATCACGGCCAAAGCTCACGGTGTCAACAAGCAGAAACAACGGCGCGTCACTGCGCACTGCCGTGTCCACAGTCCTGTGCTGCGCGGGCCCATCTGACCGAGTCCAAACACCGTACACATCTCCCGTACATCCACTCTGTAAAGCTCTGCTCCTGTCTCCGCGGTGAACTCTCGGGTTATCAATCTGCTGCACGGTGCGTCTCTGTTCCTTTGCGGTGGACAGTTGTTCTTCAGGTGACCGCGGTTCTCTGCGGTGGGAAAGTTGTCTTTAAGGCCCCGTATTTCTTTTGTGGTTAGTGAGCAAATTGTCCGGTCGCTCCTCTGTCCCGGGACTGCGCAGTGATTCCCCCCCCACCCCCAAGTGTTCCTCTCTTCTCTGGCCGCTCCGTAATTTGAGCCAGTAGGCCTTCAGCTTCCGCGCTCCGCAATGAGACATTCACATCACTGTTTCCCCCTCTCACCCCCCGCAGCTCAAACAGTAGCCGTGATTGGACATGGGATCCTCAGTCAACAAAGGACCCGCCCTTTTTTCTCCCCCCCCTCTTATCTCTTTCTCTCTCTACTCTTATACATTATAGGGACAATGCGAATGAAAAAAAACTCGTTTGTTGTACAATAGGAACATTACCGTTTAAATAATTTAATGTATAGGGAGTGACGTCATCAGAGAGTGGCCTGTTCGTGGGAGTGACAAAAACCTACACTACAGAAGGTCCAGATCATACTATTGAGTGGCCAGCTATTGTGAAGACTTTATTATTTTTAAATAATTTGATTTGGGTTGTAAAGAAGAACTCAACCAAGGGCCCCGGCCAGCCCTTTGAATCTTTACAGATGCAGACTGAGATTCTGAAATTTACAGAGAATACTCATTTTAAAACAATGGAATTTAACACAAACAAAATGTCTACATATATCCTACTTCCGTTACCATAACTGGGGGGGGGGAATTTTCACTTCTAGTCTGTTCATTAAGAAGACAATAGATTCATATTATTCGTGTATCTCTCTAAATCAACAGTCAGCCAGTTGTGTTGGGGGACTTTTTAAGTTGTTGAATTCAGCAACAACAAATCAGAGAATCAAACACAAATATATATTGGCTACTTCAAAATGTCCATTTTTGTGTACTTATTATACATCCAATTATGTATATAATTCAAACACACACACAATATATCACACACTAATTAATGGAAATAGTGCTTATTTAATTTATATATTATTTCTATGTATGTAACAGGAAGACACAGACTAGGGAATTGCTTTGGCTCTCGGTGCAAACAGTCAGAAGTATAGAGAATAGAATACGGCATAATAAGACATTTCTATAGTATAACAATTCTGTATAATTATAAAAATCCACAAGGTAAAATTGTTTCAATTTTTTACTATATTACAAGAGTCCAACAGCATCAGTTGGACTGGAGGTTAGATACAGGACTGAGGTTGTGCAGTGCAGGACTTGAAGAGGCTCCCATCAGGCACGGGGGAGACCAGGCCAAGGTTAAAAAGTAGACAGTTTCAGGGGGTTCCATCTTTTGCCATGAAACAGACCAATATAACCTGTGAATTTTCACCTTTTCACCTTTTTCTCATCTGTCCAATTCCAATCTTTACAACAGAGAACCCTGGAGATGTTTTGAGCACGAGCCAAAGATGAAGCAATCAGAATCAGAGGAATAGATCTCATTATCCACATTGTTCCATATGCCTCTGTCAGCGACACTGTGGGTTTTCACGATGGCTACTTGAAACGCACTTTGTCACGGCTCTAGTTGGAAACCACAGCAGCGCAAGGGGATGGAACCGACTTCTCCTCCCTAGTGGCGATCCGCAGTATGTGGTGAGAATGTTCACAACTGTTGTTTACGAAATAAAAACACTATTGAAAAAAAGTAGTGTTTCAGAACTAACAGGGATTTTGTGGAAAAACTACAACATGCTTAAAACCACCTTCAAGTTGCATTGATCTTTAAACAGAACAAGAGGAACAGTTGAAATCTGGGAGCAGTAAATCTGACAGCTTTTTTTTGTATTTATATTGATTTATTTATTTTGTATTTTTTCTAAATAATTAGATGCCATGACTCTTAGGATGTTTAGATTGCATAGATGTTTAGATTGCAGAGATCAGCATAGATGTAAGACGGTTTGCTGGAATACTTTTGGATTATTTTTATGTTTGAAAAGTGAAAAGTTTTCGCTTTAACAAAATTTCAAATAGAGCCATAACTTAAGGTCCAAATGATAGCAACACACTGTATACTTGCAGCAGTTAGGATTTAGCCTTTCAATAAACTGTTTTGCTGCATTTCAGTGATATTCACCAGTGTTAGCTCTGCCATCGGCTCCTGTCTGACCTTCTGCACAAACAGGTTCCAGGTCGCAGTCTGAGGTCTCAGTCCCATAAACTACTGCAGACCACTGGTGATCGAGCTTTTGAGTCGGCGGCACCAAAGCTGGATCTGAGAACCCTGGAATCCACAAAGTCATTCAAGCCACATCTAAAATGTTGAGACTTTGGTCACCTGCAGTCTGTTAGCACTGGGACTGTATTTTATTACTGTGTATTTAATGTGTTATTTTTATCTGTCTCATTTTAACTTGTGGAGTGCCTTGTTCAATTAAATCCAATTCAGTTTGTTTCGCGTCCCAAATCATAGCAGCAGTCGTCGCTGAGGACTCTGAGGAATTACAATAGTAACAAACACATAGAAGCCGCTGGTCCATAGGGAGGAACCACTGTCCAGAAATATGCATAAGTAATTGAGTAATTGAGAGGGATCTTGTCTCACGGATGAACAGGCTGTTGATGCTGGACTGCGGCTGTAGAACGAGGGCCAAGGCTGTAGAATAAGGACTGAGGCTGTAGAACGAGGGCCAAGGCTGTAGAACGAGGGCCAAGGCTGAAGAATAAGGACTGAGGCTGTAGAACGAGGGCCAAGGCTGTAGAACGAGGGCCAAGGCTGTAGAACGAGGGCCAAGGCTGTAGAACGAGGGCCAAGGCTGTAGAACGAGGGCCAAGGCTGTAGAACGAGGGCCAAGGCTGTAGAACGAGGGCCAAGGCTATCGATCCAGGAATGAGGCTGTAGATCCTTGTGAGTCTATCTCCGTGAGGACCTAAATAAAGGGTTCTACTAGAGGAAAACATTGTAAAAAAAACATATCTACATATAAGGACTACAGAGGTCAGCAGACAAAGGTCCTCAAATATAATGTGCCATAACCTTCTGACAGAATAATCTGTAATGCTACATAATTAGACTAAACTACGAGCTAATTATTCCTGTGATGTTGTTAATCACTCATGACACGTTGGCGTTGGAGCCCTGTGGGAGCGGGACGGGAGGAGAGATGACCTTTCCAACACCTCCTCCTAACATCGCCTCCCTCTGAGCCTAAGCCTGGTATTAATTTCTATCGCTCATGAACAAATACATTTGCAGATGAGTAATTTTGAGTATTTTACATGATGACAAAAAGAGGATTGTAACTTCACTCTTTATCATTTACAGAATACTTATTATTTTCATGTTTGTTTTCTTGTTTTATCAAGCATTTTGAGTTATCTTGTGTATGAACTGTTTGTGTGTAGCAGACTTGTGTGTGGCATTTCTCTCACTCTTGAAAAGACAGTTACATTCTAGGTGTTTTTTCCTCCAATAAAGCGGCTGCTTTCGTTGAAAGCTCTGAAATAACTGCAGGTCAATTTGTTCAGGTCTTTAAGAGAGCGCTAACACATACAGCACTTGTTTAAAATGTCTGCCGTAGCCCTGTTTCCACCAGCCCTACTCTTCTCTACACTACGGTACTTTACTTCACTCTGCCCTTATTGGAAGAGTTTCCACCAGCCCTGTTTTACCAGTACTCTGCCCTTCTTTAGTCTTCTTTAGAGTAGAGCAGAGCCAAGCAGAACAGAGTAGAGCAGGACAGGGCAAAGTAGAGTAGAGTAGAGTGGAGTAGAGCAGAGCAGAGTTGAGCAGAGTAGAGCTGAGTAGAGTAGAGTAGGGCTGGACAATAATAACAAACACCCAGAAGCCAATCGTCAAGAGGGAGTGGGATGACCAGAAATGTCCTTAAAAGTCTCGGATCATCACTGTCCTTAGACTTTCCTGCATCAGCAAGGGACCACTCAGAAACCCAAGTGGCAAAAAAGTGAGAAAATTCCAGGAGGCCCATATTGAGAGAGGGATCTGTTCCCACGGACAGAGAGACTGTAGATCCAGGTCTGACACTTGTCAATCATATGGGATGTTTCTTTCTTCTTGTTACAGATAGTTTGCTAATTACTGTAATAGTAAAATTCTTAAGTTGCTAACTAAACTGAGTGGTGACCTCTCCACTCTCCTGCAGCTCCTCTGAGCTCCGACTCGCTCCACTTCTCTGCGGGCAAAAGCATTGGCTCTTTAATTGAGTTAGCTCGCATATGTATTCTCTGTTCCCTTGGGACAGGGCCCCGGGGCCCTGCCTGACAATTATCACTGACACAGTTAGAGCACATCTCGTCACCTTTACTCCACAGAGGAAGACAGGGAGGACAGGGAGGAGGACAGGGAGGAGGACAGGGAGGAGGTCAGGGAGCAGGACAGGGAGAAGGACACAGATGAGGTGGAGTAGATATTTAATCAATTAGACAAATGTAGGAAAGAGATGAATATTTCCCCCTTTTGAAAGTTACGTCTCTCTTCAGCTTTTCAAAAGGCTTTAAAGTGACAACAGATGTGTGTGTGCGTGTGTATATACAGTATATATATATATATATATATATATATATATATATATATATATATGTATATATACAAATGGTGTGTTTGTTCTTTGTTTTTTCTATATATGTGAGTGTGTGTGAGTGTGAGACTGTGTGTGTCTGTAAGTCTGTGTGTGTGTGCCCTGTGTTGTCGCCTCTGAGCTCTGCTCCTAATTACTCTCATTTACAGGCATCTTCATCATCCCCCCTCCCCCTCATGTCCCCATCCCTACTTCCCCCACACGCTTAATTAACCTGATCAATAATTGATTGAAATATTACTTTATTAAATTAATTCTTGTTTCTTTGCTGCTAATTAGCGTCAGGTCTGAAAGCGGCTGATGTCAGTGCCAGATTTCTATTGTTTACTGCAGCGCACGGTGGCTGAGTGGATAGCACTCTCGCCTGGTTTGGAAT